TCTCCTGAGCTAGAGTGACACTTTTTTGGCTTGATTCCATTATAAATATTGGACTCTAGTATGAAACAAGTATGAAATATAAGATAGACCAGTTCAAGCCTTTCCTTGAAAAAAATATAAATATTGTTAATAATGATATGCTAGCAACAATGTATGACCCAATGAAGCTTCTTCTTTGCAATCTACAAACATTTTAATTTAATATAGAGGTTAATCAAAGAATAGATTAGAAAGAGCTGAAAGATGCAGCAGCAGAACAGGTCAGAAGTTAGAGGAAGAATGGCTACTATAAACATGGCTTCATATTACAATCCAATTATACCAAACATTTAAATTTGTATATCTGTATATTCCTCTTGGTTGTTTCGCTGTATAGAACGCAATTAGAAAATATTTTATAATAAATATATAATAACAAACATGACTATATTTCTGTTTTGAATGTTTTGAATAGGAGAACCAGTTTGGTATAGTGATTAAAGTGCTGGCCTAGAAATCGGGAGACTGGGAGTATCAGTCCCAATTTAAGCATAAAAACTGGCCAGGTAACTTTGGGACTCTCATTGTCTCTAAGTCCAACCACAGAACTGTTGTTGTGGAGAAAATAGGAGGAGGCAGGGGTTGTTGCCTTGAGTTATTTATGAAATAATAAGTGTGTAATAATAATCTAATCAATAAATAGATAATACTGGACAATATCTGAGTAAGAGTTACAAAGTTTAAATATAACAAAGAAAGATAATGGTAATGAAATAAGGCACAAATTAATTATGAACCAAGAAATACCTATACCATTAGCTAAATTTTTGTTTAATTTCTGCTAGATGCTGCTTGGATGAAATAATATGGAAAGTCCTGAGGTCGGACCTCCAGTAGGATAAGTTAATTATTCAAGGATGGCAAATCCAAGGGGCATTTTAGTGATCCCATCTGATTGGCAAATCCTACAGCCAGAAAGGGAATGAAAATATTTTCTCTGCTGAATGTTCCAATGCAATCTTTTAAGTGGTATTTTATGGATTACACTCATAACTGAATTGCATAACTTTAATTGCAATACAGAGGCCAAAACGCAAAGGCCAGATTTCTGGACACTACCAGTACCAGGTATTAAAATATAAATCTAAATGAAAAACTCTACCTACTCTCAGTAATTTAATCCATAAATTAAAATACATACTCTAGTTCATTCCTCTCTGGGGTGGTCCAAGCTGTATTCCATAGTTACCCTAATTAGGCCAACGGAAGTGCGACATTGTTTTTTTAATTAGAAAATCACTTGGGAAATTGCCTCCAACATAAAGCGTACAAATGTGCAGGGCTCAATCCATCAGTGTCAATTATTTCTCTCCTGTATTTTTTGCTATCGAAGCTCAGCTGTAGACAGGCCAAAGGCCACAAGTGCTGAAGCCAATCTAAGCTAGAAAACAGGTGAAGGAGACAGATAATAGGTTGAGTTTAAGTCAGACTGTATCTTCATCACAAAACTGTAATACCTTTGTAGTAAGTAACGCAACATGGGTTGGATCCGAACCAGTTAATTCACTGGGAAGCAGAATTTCCTTATTTAGTTGTTTAATAGCTGAAAACCATTCTTGGACTCAAGATATTGCATTACTCTACAATTTTCTCCTTTCATCTCAAGCACAGACTGACAATCATCCTGAGATGGACCTAATATAACATGGGCAGAGCGAGTGAAGTTTGGCAACAATAGAAATGGGACATGATAGCAGCACAGAATGTTATGTGTAGCAGACAACAACAGCTGAGCCTCTCCTAACAGCCTGAACTTGGCAACATAATTTTAATAGTATATTCACTAAATTTAGCTACCAAATTTTCAAAAAAGTCAATGAGAGTTAAAAGACCATCTACTGTACATAATATACTAGTACCAACTCCAAATTACATAAAAAAACATAAATGTAAAAATCTCCACAAAATCTCAAAGGTGAATCCATAGTTTTCTATTCAGAACCTTAGTTTCATCTTAGTTTCTGTTGGGCTATTGCCTTCCTTTATTTGGTATAGTTCATGGACTAGTGGTATGCTTTGCATGAAGCAATGGTATATTTTGTCTATCAGCAAACAATGAACTATAATTCATTCTTACTTTTTGCTACTGTAATAATTTACTTTGGGTTTATTTCAATTTTTGTCAACCGATATTAGTTTCTTAAGAAGCCATCACAATGTGCTTTAATATTCAAAAGCCATTTTGGTGAAATGTTGAAGGTGCTGGCCCAGAAACCAGAAGACTGTGACTTCTAGGCCTCTGTTAGGCATTAAAACTGTTTAAGTGATTTTTGGGCCAGTTATCCTCTCTCAACTCGATCCAGTGTTTTTGTTGTGGGGAAAATAGGAGGAAGAATATTAGGTGATTTTGCCATCTTGAGTTGCATATAAAAAGGGTGGAATAAAATAATAATAGAATATAACACAGAATATAAAATACTGATCATGATACTAAATGCTTTTGTCACTATAAGCTTTAAACATTAGCATGAGACTAGATAAGTCTACATACAAACAGAAATTTGATTAAAAATTGAAATTGATCCAGTAATTAAAGAGAAAAAAATAGTCTATTCATCTGAAGCTTTTTCAATGTCTCCAGTAGAATTTCTGGAAGTAAATTTCATCTACCAATAAATTTGATGATGTTTTTGATTAAAGCTTTACTATTTTTTCCTCTTAGAATTCATTTAAACCTTTTGCCTGCTCATGAATATCGGCTGCTTTTTTTCTTTCTTAAAATGAGACTTGATTTTCCCTAATCAAACATAAGAAAAATAACTTTAAATATCTACTTAAAGTTTAACTAAATGAGTTTGGGAGCACTGCTTAGACTAGAGTAAAAGGCCTTGATGGTAATCCATCCAGCTCTATCTGTAAAATGGTACTTCAGTGAACACATAACATTTTTTTTTCTTATGGAAAGAACAGCCTTTTTCAATATCTAACTTTTCAAAAAATATGTCAGAACAGGTATTTCTAAGTGAAACAAATTGTTTGCTGATTGATTCTCTTTTCCCCAGGTGAAGTTTTCACCTCTTACTTCTGAAGTACAACTGAATCGAAGCAGTAGGGTTGTGCAGTGATCCAAATTTGAAAGATCAAATGTGATTTTGATTGTGAATGAACACATATATAGCACCTGCCAGGAACACAAAAGACCAAATACTTTTCCTGGGGCTGCATTTCAGCTGCAGAGTTTGGGCACCCCCACTCAAGAAAAGATGAAACTGAAAAGATAGATATGAGCATTAACATCAAGTATGTAAGAAATGTAAGGAAGAATATGTATTCCCCTTCTCCAATAAACCCCCCCCCCCACATGCACCAATTATTTCAGAGTTACAGCATAAATATGCTTTCTCCAAATACTATTTAAACATTTTTTTCCTACAGTTTATTTCCTCTTGTGAAGTTTGACTCAATTATCAATTATGTTTCTTAACCTAACTGTATATGTTAATTATATCTTACTACTAATTTAAAGCTGGACATCTTTTGAAACAAAATTAATTAATCCAAATCAATAGAAATTAGCACATTCACATATCTAATAGTAGCTAGCCACATAAAAAAGAAATTCATTTTCATTCAGAAAATGAACAGAGAAAAATAATTAAATGCATGGCTTCCTTAAGATGTGGTAGTTTTGAAATTAAGAGCATGAGACTGAATTCTCCAGGTTAAACGTCTGTCCAATGACTCATGGATATTGTCTGGGAAGTTTTATTTTTCAGTTTCATTTCTATGTTTAAAATAAAGTACAGATATATGCACCTGTACCTGTATATGCACTGGATAAGATTCTTGAAAAACTACTGATGTCATACATTTGAACAGCTTTATAGTCCTGGTGGAAAGAACTACATGCAAATTGCTGTAATATTAATAGTACAAAACATTAGTTGAACAAAATAAAATTGAATTGTGATGAATGTGTAATCGATGAAGTGCCCACAGTCGTCGCTGTTGGAAACCTAGATTTCTTTACATATCACAATATGTAATACCACTACATCTTTCTTAAGCCACAGAAAGAGAAGACTTGCTTGTTGCTTGAATTCAAAATCCTTGAAGATATGTCCACTGTGTTATGTATTTGCTAGTTAATAATAATTTGTTTAATGACCACTTCTTCAGTGACTGTTCAAAGTTACGACAGCACAGAATGAGAGATACTTATTACCAGTTCTTGAAATTCTAGGCATCCCAGTATTCCCCACAGTCACATGATTGTGATCTGGGTGCTTGGCAACTGGCTTCCATTATGATGGTTGCAGTGTCCTATGGTCATGAGATTGTCATTTGCAACCTTCTTGCCTGCTTCCCAGGAGCAAAATCAATGGGGAAATGGTAGGGAAGATTGCAAGTTGTTCTGCTAAATTACTCACAGTCTACCCTACCCAGCAGCACACACACACACACACACACACCTGATCCTAGTGCACACATGCTGCGCTTTGTGTCACACCCCAGGCATTTTCCCTCACCTGGCACCAGCCACTTACTAACCAGCCAGCTGACCTATTTACAAGCCACCTGGAATTTACTTAATTACCTGCAATCATTCTATAACAATGGCAAAGGGAAGTGCTACAATTGCCATTGCTAAATGATGAAGTCCTGCAATGTTTTTCTTTACAATTGCATTGCTAGCAAATAATTTTTTTGATCCCAGCTACTGTTGTTAATCAAGGACTACCCTGATTAACAACAGTATAGTACAAAGCAAAGTTATCAATTTGTTCCAAGTTCTCCTCTATTGAAGACTGCAATAGGGAAACATAATAGAAAGAAAGACCATACATATATTTAATCAAGATATGAATAGATGTCAAAGGTGACCACCTATTTCTAAGCAAGAAAACTACATCTGTATAAAACGAAGGTGTATATCTTGTCCTGAAATACACAAAATACATAAAATAGCATATGAAAAGAATTTAGATTGAGCTCAAATTCTATTTATAGACAATACTTACAAATTCTTTACATCAGTAATTCCTCGAAAAGCCTTCCTAGGGATGCCTTGAATCTGGTTTTCACTCAAGTCCCTAAAAATAACAAACAAATATTATGAACTTGTTGAATTAAAAAAAAATTGGCATAAAGGTGTGTTTATAACTGCAAATTCCTGTGACATGAAGGGGAAGAACAATGAAAATGTTAACATACTTTTAAGAGGTCATGCACTGAAATGGTAGCTATGCAGAATTTTATATTTTCATAAACGGCAAAAAATTGTTGGGACTATTAACATAGTAGCTATATTGTGTACCAACTTCTATTATTTTTATGTATTTCAAAATAAGTATTGCACCAAATTGCCCTGAAATGGTTTAAATGTACTTTTTAAAGTCTGTATTTTTAACATTTCTTTATTATCTGAAATGTGGCACTTGAAAGTGAAAATAAGAGAGGAAATAAGTAACTAAAATATAATGGAAAGGATAAAATAAGAAGTAATACTATTAGTATATAGATTGCAGTGCAATCTTTACATATTAGTTCAAAACCATTTCAGAAAGTTGCAGATAACACTTGCCATAAGTGCATACTGCAGATTTATTAAAACAAGCAATTTCATACAAATTCTCATACCCTATTCTATCTTTGTTGTACATTAAAGAAATAACTAACAATCATATTTTCCTCTTCTTTTGCTGGGTTTATTTTTCATTATATCTACAGGAAGAAATCTCCATGAAACTACATATTTTTGTGGCTACTTTTTCAGAAGTACTTCATTTGATGAACTCCATTACAGAATGCAAATACAATGCAAAGTTATATTCTGGTGTGACAATTGTGAACCTAACAAAATATTCCCCTCTGCCCATGCAATTAATATTGGCTAAAGCATAATCAATACATTGGGAAATATTTTGTGCCCAATGCCCATGAAAGAAGAATAATGTTAGTAAGTCCTAAAATGATTAAGGATTATTATTATGTGTTCTTTCATTTAAAAGGATAATATGCTTCATATTATTTTCTCTATCCTTTGTGGAATACCATAGTCACAAGCAATAGCTTTAAAAAGCACAAAATAAGTATTCAAAAATATGACAAAATGAAGAAAATTGCTTCACTATTATTAATAAGCATTGAAAATGCTCAATTTCATAAAATTGCAGAATACTGCATGGAAATCAAGGACAATAGATACTATCCAAACGTAATATGCTTTTTTAGAGATGTATACAATGCTCAGACATTCCAGATAAGTAGCATTCATTAGAATGCACTCTGTGGAATTTCTCCCCCTTTGAAAGTGAATTCTCTATTGTGCCATGAACCTCAATCAAATTGATTTTATTGAATAATAAGCATTTTGGCTCCAAATGAGAGCACCACATAGAAAACCCACACTGACATGTTAGGTCATCTGGGTCACCAAGAGCTTTCTTCTGTTTTCCATCAGGCTGATGGTCCATTCAGCTCCCACCCCAAATGTCCTTGTCAAACTAATTCAATTTATACTAGTCATCTAGTCTACACCAATTTCTTTTGGTAGCTGTAATTGTTTTCTCAGACAGAGAGACAGGCACACAAATGGTACACATAACAATGCTTTATTGTTTCCAAAATGATGTTTCCAAACATATGTAAGTACTTCAGGACTTCCCCAAGTTATGAAATATTCATAGGAAAAATATTTTCAACTTTCTACTCATGTTCATCATTAGTGACACTAGAATATTAAATGCTACATGATAGGCCTTTGATTTCAATGATTCTGATCAGTATCATGATCTACTGAAAATAATGCAAAGAAGCAAAAAGTTAAATATTACAAAAATAATGTCTGGAACATTAAACGTTAACAACAATCAAAGTAAGCAGCAAAAGGGAACAGTGGGACTTGAAACAGGAAAATACCCATTCTAAAAAAGTTAAAATTGTACCTATTATTTAAATAAGTTCCTTATTGCTTCAAGTAGAGTAGAAGGCCAAAGTTTTAGAGATTCTAGCATATTAAAACACTTAATAATAAT